AAGCATTTAAAAACATCTTTCTTCCCACACCTGACACTGGTCCTGAATTCACCTCACCTAAGACTTCATCATTTGTCAGTCTACATCCCGGCTCTACTCTCTATCATTTCAACAGTCACACGACTGCCAAAATTCACCTTCTAAACCTTCAGACCCTAGGTGAAATGTCTGTAGAAACTGCCCTCACTACCAGTACGAAGAATTACTATAAACTCTTTGTGTACATACAAAGTCAATTACAACACCTTATTTTTGTGTCTGTCTTCCCCACTAATGTACGAGCTTTTCCCCAGCAGGGGCCGTATCTCATTCATGTCTACAGCCCTAGTACCCAGAACTAGAAAGCATTTGAAGGTTGTTTTTAATTCAACTGTAATTCAAACAAATTACATACATACACACACACACACACACACCACAAATCATACAATAAAGCTTTAATCAACATGAATCCTATTACGACATGAATCCTAAACAAATGGGTCTTGCTCCTAATAGGATCTGAAAGGATTCTCTAACTAATAACCCAAACTTTATTAACAAACATATTGAAGCCTTCAGAATTTTCCAAAACCACATAGAGATCAAGTTTCCTAATCTTAAAATTCCTCTCAGTATAGTACAGTTTGTCAGGGGCATTAAACAGCATCACATTATTTTGGACCACCAAAGCCCCATCCCACACTACCTCCCTCTTACCACCAATGCACTTGTTAGTTCAGATGCTTTTACTGAGCACCCCCTCAGTACTTGAGGCTCAAAGAAGAACCAAGGAAGGGAAACAAATGTTTAGTGGTGGGGGTGGAGGGAAGACACAAAGAACTGGTAACCGTCGGCCATGTGGTGCTTATTCAAATTATCTCAGTTTTTCTTAAACTGTCTTATAGTTTGGTCCACTAGGAATGTTCTCAAAAGATAACTCAGCAACTAAACTAATGTCTATCAAAAAGAATGACTTAATAGCAACGATCCTAAAATAAAAATCACATTTTTGGCAACTGTTTCCTAAAATGCAATAGGATACACAGTGTAACAGTCAACAACTCTACACAGCAGGCCAACTCAAAGGGATATTTAAGGCTACATTCAGCAATTAATTCACCTTGCAGTGTTCACCAGGAAGTTGTATCATTTGATGTTGAGAATTTTATGGCCACAGTATACAACTCATAAAAACAGCTATAAATAATTTCTGGCTACAACCATTACATCTTCTCTCTATAATCCACCTTTAGAGCTTACCTGGCCATTATTTTTTCTATTTTTAGAGCAATCCCAGACCTGCTTTCTGAAGAAAATCTTGGTCTCATCCACAGGATCTCTTTAGAGATGTATGCTGGCTGTCCATTCAGGTCAAAATGCTGACTCAATCAGGATCTGACCTTAGACATGCGGAATGTGTGCCCTCACTGGTGCCTGATGCTTACCAAAACTTGATTACAGAAATAATATTCATGGAACAAATTATTCATTCAATAATTCTATCAAACGTTCTCTAAGTGCCAGACACCATTCTAGGTGCTGAGGATAAGCAGAGTCCCTACAGCTTACTCATTCCTCCTTATCTCTGAACCAAGCCAAACCATCGGTGAGCAGTATACCTAAATCCAGTTGCTGTGGCTCTTCGGAGGATGTTCACCGGTATTACCTAAACCTGGATTGAGAAGCATTATAAGAAGCAATCTTAAAAAACAACAACAACAAAAAACTTCCTACTATATTTGTCATTGGGTTTATTTTCCCCCACAAAACCACAGTGTCCCCATTATGAAAACCAGTGAGAGAAATTTTTCTCTACAAGTCAAAAAAAGTGTGCCTCTCTTAAACATGTGTTGGATTTTACAGACACCATGAACCTGCAAGTTGAGCTTTATTTTCTTCTTAGCTTTTGTTCTAGGAAACTCAGAGCCAAATATGGAACCTACCTTTGGTAACTGTCTAGTCTATATAATAACTTTGCCACTGATTTAATTTCATTACTATTCTCTCGTGTTTTTTGCCTTAATATCTTTATTTTTAATCCTTCATACTGTACATATTTTGAAAAGAAGTGGGAAATAAAAGGTATTTAATAGGTGCTTTTTTTTTGCGGTACATGGGCCTCTCACCGTTGTGGCCTCTCCCGTTGCGGAGCACAGGCTCCGGACGCGCAGGCTCAGCGGCCATGGCTCACGGGCCCAGCCGCTCCGCGGCATGTGGGATCTTCCCGGACCGGGGCACTAACCCGTGTCCCCTGCATCGGCAGGCGGACTCTCAACCACTGCGCCATCAGGGAAGCCCTAATAGGTGCTTTTTAACCTAAAATTTACTGTATACTTTCTACGTGCCAGGCACTATACTAAGCATTTTACAACCCTATAATGGTTGAACTATTATTATTTCCGTTATACAGATGAAGAAGCTGGGGCTCAGAGAGGTTTATTAACTTGCATATGATCTCACAACGTGTATCTGACAGAGCTAAGATTCAAATTCAGCTCAAACCATTACACCTAGGTGTATCTACAGGCTATCATAGGAACAAACAAAGCAGAGAAGAGGAAGGTGAAGGAGAGGGTAGAAAGTTTGCATGGAAGATGTGATGTTTGAGGGAAGTCTTAAAGGTGGGGAGCTTGCCAAGGAACGGGGAGAAAGTATTCCAGAGAGAAAGAGAAATCATGTGCAAAAACCCAAACATAAGTTCTGGGAATGGCAAACAGGACATAGAGTTACATTCAGCAATTAGTTCATTGTGAAGCGTTCACCAGAAAGTTAAGTCAATTAATTACTGGATGTTTAGTAGATCCATTATTGAGAATTTGGCCGTTATTGAGTACATGGCCACAGTACTCAACTGTGGCTGGAAAGACAGATAGAAGTGAAATAAAGGCAGTCTTTTTTTTTTTTAATTGAAGTATAGTTGATCTACAATTTTGTGTTAATTTCTGCTATACAGCAAAGTGAGTCAGTTAAACATACATATACATTTTTTTATATTCTTTTCCATTATGATTTATCATAATAGAGGGCAGTGTCTTTTTATGATTACACTAAAAAGTCTGAATTATGTTCAATAAACAAGGGGAACCACATAAGGATCTCAAGCTTGAGAATTAGAAGATCAACTTGCACAGTATGTGAATGAATTACAGATTCAAGGTAGGGAACCCAGTCAGGAGGCTATTCCAAGAGTCTGGCAGTGGGGTAATGAAAGTTAAACAAGGGCTATCAAAAAGAAAATATAATGCAAGCCATATATGAATTTTTACTTTCCTAATAGTTATGTTAGAAAAAGTCAAAAAAAAAAAACCTGAAAATAATTTGAGTAATACTTTTATTTAATCCAATATATCTAAAATATTATTTCATGAAATAATTGACATAAAAATTAGTAATGAGAAATTTGCCATGTACTTTTTGTACTAATCTGAAATTTGGTGTGTTTTTTAATACTTAGATATATGCCTCACTTTGGACATTAAATTTTCATTGGAAAAATTTGATCTGTATTTAGATTTCATAATTTACAGATGAAAAAGCAAATTCACATACCCAAGTTGTTCCAGACATAAACATTTTCCAGTAATTAAATATCGGTTTTAAAATTTAAATTAATTACAATTAACAATATTTATTAAAAATCCAGTTCCTCAGTCATGAGAGCCACATTTTGAGTGTTCCACAGCCATATATGGCTACCACATTGGCCCATACAGGCCTAAAGAGTGACAAAGGAACTTTGGCTGTTTGCACCTTCCACCATCAGCATTTCACATCTACCTACTGTTAAGGTTTACTGTGTATTAACATCAATAACTTAGCAAGAATTAACTATTACAGTGGTCCTACTGGTCACATCCTCACTACTGTAACTTACTTTCTCTAGGCCAATGCCTACATCCATGAAAAACGAATCTTCGAACGACTACACAGAATTGCTATGTAGTACCTGACACATGGAATGTGCTCAGAAATGCTTGTGGAATGGATGCATGCTCTTCATTACTCAAGGAACAATGCACTTGCTGCAGACTACCTAAGCCCTTTGTTTCTATCTTCCTATAGTTCAACTGCTTATTAGACTCTACGTACAATGAAAACAGTAAAAGCAACAAGAAAACCTATTTTCGGGACTTCCCTGGTGGCGCAGTGGTTAAGAATCGCCTGCCAATGCAGGGGACACGGGTTGGAGCCTTGGTCCAGGAAGATCCCACATGCAGCAGAGCAACGAAGCCCGTGTGCCACAACTACTGAGCCACCGTGCCACAACTACTGAAGCCCGCGCGCCTAGAGCCCGTGCTCCGCAACAAGAGAAGCCACCGCAATGAGAAGCCCGTGCACCGCAACGAAGAGTAGCCCCCGCTCGCCACAACGAGAGAAAGTCTGCACACAGCAACGAAGACCCAATGCAGCCAAAAACTAATTAATTTTAAAAAAAAGAAAACCTATTTTCAATTGTATATTTATTAGAGGCATTATAGTATAATGGTTAAGAGCTTCAGCTCTGGAGTCAGACTGCTGGGATTCAAATCCTGGTTCTATCACTTATGAGATGTGTGATCTTAGATAAATGCTCAGCCTCTCTTGTGCCTCAGTTCTCTCTTGTGTTAAAACAGTGATAACTGTACACAGTTCCCTGGGGTGTTTCAAGGATTACAGAAGATAACACAAATAAGCACTTGCACATGGTACCTGGCACACAGCAGATGTTCAATAAACATTAGCTTTTTAAACAGAGCTGGTGAAGAAGTTGAAATTACGGCTAACATAAAAAACTAGGCCTTCTCAATTATCCACATCTCTTTCCCACATAATCTTAGATACCAAAAAAAAAAAAAAAAAGTACAGGCAGTACTTTGAAGTCCTGGAAGACAGAGCTTGCAGATACTTATATTCATTAAGAAAGGAGCTAAGTAAAAAACTTCATCTACTGACAGTGTATAATTATGCAGTATAGTATAGGTGCAGCCAACCAAACGGAAAAAAACACGAAGCAAAATTGGGAAGGCATTTTGCCTTACCTGCTTTTCCGTTTTCGAGGCGGTTTCTCCACTGTGCCAGTCAGTCTGTAGACCAAACAAATAAGATGGTAACTAAAAGTAACATATAAGATCACATCTGCGGGCCCTACTGTGCCAGTCAAGAACTCAACGCACCACCCTCGAGCACTACAGGCTGTCTAAGCCCATACCTGCCTGACCTTACAAATGCCTTACGTTCTGTTTCCCCTAAATACCAAGACCAAGCGATCCTGGGACTCACCGTTCCCCTAATGTCTGCTTAGCCCAAACCCTGCTCTGCCCCCTGGTCTCTCACTCCATCCTCACCTCCTATTCGTCACAGCCCAGCTCCCCAAAACCACCCACCGCCACCTACTCATTGTCTGCTTCACCACCCCCGCAAGCCCCTCCGGCTTCCCCTTTCCAGTGCCCACCCCCTCCCGACACGGGCACTGCCCCTCCGAGCCCCGCCCCTCCAGGCCCCGCGCCCCCCGCATTCCACGGCCCCTCCACCGGGCGCGCGCGCCCGGCCCCTCCCGGCCCTGCGCCCCCAGTCTCACCGCTCTGCGCCCCTTCCCTCACACGCCCCTCTCATCCGGTCTGGAGGATGCGACCGCCGCCTAGCCCGCTCCGCCGCCCCTTGGCGCCCCCCGAATTCCCCGCAGCCCGACCGCCCCTCCAGTCTCGGCGCCCCGAATGCTTCACGGCCCCAAGCTGCTGCCCTGGGCCCGCTCCCGCGCCCCATCCCCAACCCCGACCTCCATTCAGCCCCCGCCCCACCTTGGGGCCAGGCGACTCCGCGGCTGCTGGGGCTGCCGGGCTCCTCTGACCATCCGGCTCCTGCTCCGCCGCGGGAGCTGCTCCGGCGGCCGTAGGGCTCGCTCGGGAAGCTGAGGCGGCGGAGGCTGGAGTAGGCGGAGAGGCGGGCGAAGGGCCTCGCGCCTCTGCCAGGCTTGCCGCAGGGCCCGCCTCCTCCGCGCCTCTCCTCAGCTCCCATTGGCTAGAGCCGTAGTGTGGCCGAAAGCCTGGAGGCCGATTGGACGCTCGGGCCGTCACATCCCGCCACCTAGAGTTTGGTTGAGACTGCAGGTGGCGGCGGAGGTGCCTTAGAGGCTGCTAACACTGCCGGGGAGATCTAAGCGCCACCGTGCGGTCGAAAGTAAAAACTGCATCTCCGGCGCCAGACACCTGCGGCGGGCAGGTTCTTCTGGCTCTGAGTCCTGCATCCCACACACCTGCTGGCGCCCCTCAACACTGCACCACGCCAGGAGCAACAGCTAAGCGCTGCAATTTCCCAAACTCCTCTGGCAGGTGCGACAGTGAGGTAAGTCTCCAAAATGAGCTTCATTTTGAACCACCTCATATCCGGTCCCTGACTACATCATGCTGAAATGGTTAGAGCTCACAGATAACACTTCACAGAGGATCCGGCAAGAAAACTGTAAGAATCTATCAATATAAAGTGTGGTTTAGATGCTCAATCCTCTGCAGAAGAGATAGCAAGCTTGGGTGCAGGCTTCCAAGAAAGCAAGAGATTTTAAAAATAAATTACCAAGAAAGGAAAATCAACCCTGCAAACAGAATTGATGCCGTAACCAAAAGCAATGTGTTCGGTTCTTAAATGCCTAAACGGAACTGACCCCTGAATGTGCTGCTAACTGTCCTGTGATACTGCAGATGCTTGTGACTTCTACTCCAGCTAATCAATTTTAAAATAAATTTCCTTGCATTTTTAGGGTTGTTGACAGACCTAAGCATGCAAGACTACCAGCACATAAGCATTATAAATCAGTTACCTTTTCTCTTCTACTTTAACAAGGCCATCCTTGAAAATAAGACATAACTCAGTAACATATTAACAAAATTCTTCCTCTAAGGTAGAATCCCCTTCAGTCTTTCTGCAATCCTGTGTAGTTTTTGTTTGGTAGATCCTCGGCATATATTTGGAGCTGGGAAGAGGCATAAAACTTTCTCTTAAGCTATTTCTGTTTTATCAGAATACGCTTTTATGCATCAATAATGTGACAGCCTAGAATTATACACACCAAAAGTTTGGGGACAAATCTCTTACTGATCTTCACAAATGGTAAAAATGAGACTACTATAGTTTTTCATAAAGCCGAATTTATTTGGTGTAAAGGGCTGTCCTTTATTCTGAGATGGCTCTTTTTACATCTTTCCTTCTATAAAATGATGATGATGGTAAATTGTAATGGGACCTTTAAAATGGCATTGACAAGGAAAAACAAAAAGTTGAACATCTGTTGGCTCCCCAAATTAATATTTTACATAATCCCAAGATAACAGAACCATAAATCCCCTCAATACCAACAAACAATATCCACCCTTATAATCACCAAGCCAGAAAAGAGAGAGAACCTCAGAATCATTTGTCAGAGAAGACTAGGGGAGATGTGGTAGGAGGAGTCCTGGTGGGGAGGATCAACTTACTAGGAGACTAATCTTGAATGTCACTCATTATGTTTCTTAAAATATGAATTAAGGGCTTCCCTGGTGGCGCAGTGGTTGGGAGTCCGCCTGCCGATGCAGGGGACGCGGGTTCGTGCCCCGGTCCGGGAGAGTCCCGCGTGCCGCGGACCGGCTGGGCCCGTGAGCCATGGCTGCTGAGCCTGCGCGTCCGGAGCCTGTGCTCCGCAACGGGAGAGGCCGCAGCAGTGAGAGGCCCGCGAAACGCAAAAAAGAAGAAAAAAATATATATATGAATTAAAATCATCCGCTTGGTTTTCAAGGTCTTTCACAATTGGCCAACGCCTCTCTGATACGTGGTATTGTCAATAGAGCTGCAGCTATTCATTTCTTACGCTTTCCCAAGGAGTACCCTCAAGTTTACCTTCATCATGTCCAAGTTCTAGTAATCCCCATTTCTGTGCTTTTACTATACGAATACATGGCCCATCATTCTAGTATACATTTCACACTTCCTCTTTTAAGCCTTCCCCAATTACTCCATCTTACCTCAAACATTTCCTTCTCCAAATTTGTTGTACTTACATAAACCACACTATGTCAGCAATTATATATTGCCTTGGATTATTCTTACTTCCCAACTACACTGAATTTGGGCAAATGATATGTAAGTGGGCCCTCAATAAATGGCAGCTTTGGGCCAGGGACTGGGTATTTTATATGTGCTATTTTTAATCCTGAGATCAACCCTGTATGGCATTCTTATTTTAGACACAGAATTTTAAGATTCAGAAAACCCAACTTGCTCAAGGTCACAAAGCTACAATAACCAATACTGCTTAAGATGTACTACTCTAGGATGCCCTAAAGGGGTTCACATTCCAGCTCTCTTGTGCAACCCTGGGCAAGTTACCTATGATCTCTAAGTGTGTTTTCTTGTCTGAAAGAAAAAAAAAAAAAAAAAGGTACTATAGTCATTGAGCCATAGTAGGGGTGACATAAAATAGGGCATGTACAGCATTTAGCTAAGTGTGCTCAATACAGGTTAGCTGCTATTACTGCCTGGCAGAGCTGGGGTTTTTACCTAGATTGATCCCGAAGCCTATATTCTTTCCACTATTCCATTGCCTCCATACAGTCTTTTATAACCCATTCCCGTTTATATAAAAAAGCAAAGTGCTGAGAACAGCGGCTGCCCAGGGACTGAGTGGAATATACTTACACAATAATTATTTTTGTTGACACACGCACACAAGATTCATACATTTCATGCATTTTTGAATTAAGAAAACATCTGAATGATCCAAACCAGCATAAGCTTACTATCATGAGTAATATGCCTTACGAAAGGCACATATTCACCAAGTGATTAACAAGGAAACAGAAAACTAGTAAGAGGGGAATAGGGTCCTTCTCCAAGCATCTACTGTGTTTGGTTTCATGCTAGGAGGACTTTCCAAATGCTTCTTTTTGGTGTTTTACTACTGTATATTTCATCAGCATGACTGCACAGTTTAAATACACAATTGAAAGAGTTGTGATGATCTCATGAAGCTGGGTTCTGGGCACTGGATCCAGGACGTAACAATGAACTGGAACACTGAAGAGTCAAATGCAGAACAAGAAAAGTTTCACTTCTGTTTACTAGTCAAGCAACTAAGTGAAGGAATAAGCATTTTTTAATTTTTAAATTGTGTTACATAAAATGCTAACTTCTTGTTGGGACAGACTGCATTAGATAAATTTTTTTGCCAAACTTCCTATAATCTTTTTATTAATTTACAGAGAGAATATAGCACCTTTCATCCAAAGAACTGAAGGTGCTTTACAAACATTAGCATTTAGAAAACAAGTACATTTAAAAATCTGGATTCTTGCTGTTAAATCTCTTCGACTCCAGATACACAATTTTTTGGAGGCTGATGGAAAGCAATTCTGTTTCTGACAACGGAAGAGGCTCAGAAAGAGTTCGGATTTCACAGTACAGGCATTTTCCAAAACCTGGTGCTGGGCTTACAAAGCAAAAACACACAAATCTTAATGCAAAGAACAATATTTCAAACCTTATTTCAAAAGTGAAACACAGGGTTTAAGACATCAAAATCTTCCAACAGTTCTAGACATCCGGACAGAGTAGGAGCTGATGCAGGTTGCATATTAAAGATGTGCTCTTGATCCAGGCTTTTTAGGATCACACCCAAATGAAGACATTTAGAGTTGTGAGATTTTTCAGGAAAAAGCATTAACCTAGGAAAAGCTAGCCAAGAGCATATCAGGAAAATGAGGAAAGGGGAGTAATTGGCAATTAAAAGTAGACAGTTCTCACTAGAGCCTAGGACATTTTATTAGAAACCAAGTATATCATAGGCAAATAAAAATGGTTATTACCCCCATTAATACAACATAAGGGATTTTACATTCAGCCTAGATACAGGGAATAACAGAGCCTCATGCCTACAAATCTATGACTTGCAAGTATTTTCCACCACATGATTACTCTATATAGTACATAGCCCTTATTTATCAGAGGGATCCAAATATTCCTTTTAGGCTTACAGAGTCCAATACATTCACTCTCTCTTCCCTTTACATGTCTAATAGTAAAAACTTTTTTTTTCATGCAAAAAGCCATTATTCAGTTGAAGAGAAAAAAATCAGGCAAAACAGAGATGGCAATTAAGGAATGGACAGAATATTATTGGCACATGCCCAACTAGTGACAAACAAATGCAGTACACCATGACTTAAAAATAACAGTCACATTACACGGGTAACTAAAACAACTACATCAATCTAAGCTAAGGAGTGTCAAATGGGAAGGAAGGGCTGAGGGTTACCAATTTTATTGGTACAACTTAAATGCAGAAGAGAGAAAGCACTTAAATACAATTTATGGTAACAGAAAAGAAAAATACTGCAGAAAGCTGTTCAAAGACCACACCAAGTTGTCTGCATCATTAATTTCCAGTGTTTCACAATTAGTAAAATACATAGCTACATATCCCTGTAAGATAAAAATACCTTTCCCCCTGAATTACACTGGGGTCGGGGCAGTAAAACAAAGCTACTGACCCAACAGTTCAAGTGTGTGCAGCAAATGTCTTAGCCACTTCTTTCTTACAGCTATACAATTAAAAACTACACAAGGAGCTGTGTGGTTGGAGGAAAAAATCAAAACACTATTGTGCTCACTTAATAAAAGAAAAGCCCTGATGAAAAATTATGTGCCAAGAAGCTTAGACTATAAAGATTTTTATTGCATTTTTAGGTAACCTGGAAGTTCTTATCCTGAAGGGGGACAGTTGGTTTTCAAAACTACCTGAACAGATGCTAAAGTGCTTTATTAATTGGCTGGCTTCACAAAGATTTCCTGGAATGGCAAAAATTAATTATAGTAGTAAAGGGATACCAACTATTTCATAAAATGGTTAATTCCAGCATCATTTATGACCACAATCATAAGAGACACTGGAACACTTGTCCTTATTAAGTGGACAGTTGCATATCAAGAACTGATCATCACAACCCTTTGGATATTCAAATTAC